GGAGAACGGCCGGGCACGGCGCAGCAGCAGAACGGCCGGGCGCCGCGCGGCACGGCGGGAAAACGGCCGCGGACCACGTGTCAGGGCAGAAAAATGACTGTACCCCGAGGTGGAGTTCGCACATCGAGGTACATTTTTGTGGACGGAGCTGGTCGTAACCCGAAAGTTCGTTAGTAGAGGCATTCGTATCCCGAGGTACCACTGTAATAGTACCATAATAGCTTGATGTATGCTGCAGTTTATGTCAAGCTTTTTAAATACTTAAAAAGTTATTTTCAGAGGACACATTTTCAACTTGTTGCTGGTGAAAGCCAATGTTTAGCAGCTCCATGGATTTACTGAAAACATAAACTAAAAGTGGAGTAAAGTGAACTCAGAATAATGACAACCTATTATGACATTTGCAGCTCTTAAAAATTATTTTTTAATTTTAAAATTATTATTTTACATTAAATGAACAAAATATGCAATCAGTTTTAGAATGATTTTCCTCCATTTCTGTACGAATAATCTGAAGTGTCTAAGCAATATAAAAGTAGCAGACACATAAGGAACAAACTACCAAATACATGAGATCAGTTCCAATTACTGCATCATTTAGCTGAAAACTAAGAAACATATACTGCAACAGACAATAATGATTATTTTTAAAAATAACTACAGCCTACCACAAGCCTACTTTTAAATAAAGGCCTTAAATGCAGACTTTAAAATGCACTTCCAAATGTACATTTATTCAGATTACAGTGGCCTCATGAGATCATTATTGCTTAGCAAAACCAGAATTAGTATTGCTATTCCTTCTGGTCATAAAACTTAAGTTAATACAACTCAATGTAAGAGCCATTTTGAAGTAGAAGAAAAGACAGAATGGAAACACTATAACAAAGAATAGTTCCAGGTTTTAGTAAGTCTTCTTCTATACAGACTGCTCACCTTCCATCATTCTAGCTAGCAAAGGCTCAGGCAAAAAGAAACAAAGTAGAAGAGCTAATAGCAATATGTCAGGGACATGCTGGTTCAGGATTCTGAATAGCTATTACAGGAATTCTGCTAAAAACTTCCGGATTCAAGATCAGGACAATGGACAGCAACCCACCATCTAAGGTAAAAACAATGTATGATCCTTCTGGTAAGTCCACCCATTCAGGTTTTATATAAGTTTTTAAAGATTCAGTGGTCTTATCTTTAGACCTTTGGGGTCTATAGGAAATGGGACTGAGGAATGGGGATTTTGCTGGAAAATGCTTCTTATGTTTCAAATCAATGGTTGAATCTGAAGTGCATTCATAAAAGGGTAGATTCTCTGGTGAGATTTGAGTTAATCACTGTATGGCTAATCAATCCTGCACAAGTGAGTACTAACTCTGGTACATTCTGCCATCAGAGACTTATGGGGTTTAAGGGATTATTCATTTGGAGGATTTGCCAAATTACATTGGTTGATAATCTTACTGAGGACCTATATTCATTGTAAAACGGCAGGTAAGATGGGCCACTGATATTATCATTCATTCAAAAAGTCATCAGGTTCCCTGGTTTCTCCTATGCTGGCTCTGGATGGGGTCACACTTGAGGTTCTGGATTCACAACTCCTTCTTCACCAGTAGACCAAGGGATGTTTATCCAGCTTCATCTGGTATATCAATTGCAGCCCTTCCAAAAGTGGGATGGGAGTGAGTCATGCCTTCATAATTTCAAAGTTCAATTTCTACAATGTACTTTACTTGGAGTTTTTGAATGTTTTTCAAAGGCAGCTCCAAGTACATCAAGATGTACAGAGTGCTTCAGCCTATTTGCCAGCTGGTGAAGCCACTTTATCTGGGTGACACAGGTATCATGGATGGTGTACTAATTACCAATAGGTTTCTGAATAGAACTCAAAGTGCTAGTTTTAACATATAAAGCCCTACATGCCTTGGCTCCCCGTTACACAAAGACCACCATCTTCAAACTGAATCTGCCTATCCTGTGCTCTCCATCCAGAAGGAGACACTTTGAATTACTCCTTCCAAGAAGCAAAGGTTATGGAACTCAGGAACAACTCAGGTGATGGAACCATGAGACATCTGGATCCTAAGTACTACTGCTTGTGCCTTTAAAAAATATTTCTTACATTTGATGGTGGTTTTATAGCTATGTTATGGAAATAGCTGTGGGTTTTGTTTTTGTTTTTTACTGATGTGAACTGCCCAGAGTGACCAAACATTTACACTTTTGAAGATTCTCTCACATTTTATAGAACAGCTATAAAGACAAGTGGAAGACTTCTGTGAACAGTACTGAATCTTTCTATTTAGAACAACATACCAAGCCAAAAAAGGTAAAAAGAAGTGGGTGAATTTATGGGAAAGGCACAGACAAGAATGGACAATGCACATAAATTACCTTTGTCTTACTTTACATTAGAAAGAGCAGGCTTCCTTTCAGATGACACCATTTCTCTTCTGGCTCTGTGTGGAACAGAAACATGGTTTCAGTTTTAATATTCTCTCTTGATACATTGATTCTTAAAAACAATAAAGTTGGGGGGATCATTAATTAAAGTCTACTTCACTGATAGCTGATACGCAACATGCTGTTAACCGCCAGATAAATATCCCATGTTTCTTCTATTCTGCAACTGGCACAATTATTGACTGAATGCACACTGAACTGTATTTCCTTTGTTCCATCTTGCAAACAGAAACTTTAGTATGGGACAACATAGTCAACAAACCTTCTTGAGAAAACAAAATGTTTACTCTTCACACAGGATTACTACATATTCAACTAGCTGGTCTCACTGTTTTAAACGAACTCAAAAACACACAAGCGCTATTTCCTTATGATTGGGTTATTTTTGCC